TCATTATTTCTAGCATTCTTTTGTGTTTTTGCCTTCTTGAATATCCAATAAACACACTCATTTCAGTTTATGCGATCAAACTTGTCAAGTTCTCTGGTGCCAGAAATAAGTAACTCATGCAGAATTGTATCTTTATCGCATATCACCATGGGTACCAGTATCGTTGGCATCGCATAATATTATAATTCTCAGTGTCTCAAATACTACCTACAATTGATTTGTGGTGATCACATTGACTTTGAATGTCCAGAGTGGACACATTTGGTGTATCGTCAATTAAAACGTTATCCAAAATACTTTTATGTCCTAATACTACACATGGTCATTTACGCATGAGGCAAATTTTGTTTATGTCCTCATTTTTCTACGATGCTAAATGTATATCAGATTAAACATGTTTCAAAGTTGTAGGTATTCGTATCCAAGTTATTAAGTATAGACCTGCCATCTGAAAGCGAAAATGCCCACTGACGTATGTTTTTTCAGTTTATGTGTGTTAGTGAGTAGACAAATTAATTCAAAGAATGAGAGCACAATTAATTATAATAAATGAACGATAAAGCAATCAGCTGCATAAAGTCATGTGGCAGTTCCCGGCAAATATAAACTAAACTAAAAATGTGAAATAGAAAGAAACCATTACATCTTATGTTTTATGAAATTAGTAAATTATTATATTAATTATAATTCATCTTCTCACATTGACCACTAGACTGGCCCAGCGATGGCAATTTTATAATCTTTTTTTTATATTTTTTTTTAAGGCCAGACTTTTTTTATTCCTTGTTTCTCGAATTTTTATAAGGCAATTTTTTGAGGAGGGCGGAAAAAAAATAAAATTAATTCTTTTTATCCATTAGATTTGTGTGATTCTCAAAGAATTGTAAGTGAGATCATTAATTGGAGAGAAGAAATGAAATAATATTTTATTCCATGTATAATCCTGTTTCTCATCTGCGTGAGACTTCGGTACTCCCACGAAAATGCAACTTGGGTTTGTTATGCGTCGGGCGAAAAAAAGAAGAAGATGAAAATAAGTTTTTTTTAGCAATTGTTTGCGCGAGAAATTACGCTGCAATAAAATCTTATTTTTATTTCATTTTCGGCTCCTGTTCATTCGGTGGGTTCGCGAAACAAGGGATAATAAAAGTCTGGCCTAAACATGGTCCTACACAGCACCACTACTGGTTTATTCTGAGGAGTATTCATTTTTGTTAATTATTCATGATATGCAGTGATATTTTAGAACCCAAGAATGGAACACTTCCAAAAGAAGAAAATAGATGTGCACTTGCACAAATGATTCAATGTGTCAGGTCACATGTGCATTTCAGTTGCAGGTCAGATCAAAAGCTGCCTTCTTATTGGTTGATACCTTACAATTCATGCTACTCATTAGCATATTTATTACCTCACAAACAAGGTGACAACTATAGAGGGCGCAACAGAACAGACTATTCATGGGAATTTGGTGTCAACACAAGAGAATCTACAAATTTGATCTTTAAGGATTTATCATATAAATCAATAAATTTGAGCACATTTGGATATCATGTATATGCATTACACATCAAATACAACAAAGCATCATGTATTACATAAATGTGCCAGTGGTAGAGAAATTTTTTTTTTTTCATATCCAACTTTAAAGCAGGTGGGTTTGCTGGTGTTTACAGGCATTTCATGAGAAATAATAATTTCTGTACAACTATATTATTTGTTTTCACAGAAATTTGTTTTTTGGGACATAGGTCAGTGCCACGAGTGGTCAAATGTCACAAGTCAGATGATCACTTTCATAAAAATGTGTGATTCATTATTATATGATAATAATAACACTCTGCAGATTTCACCTAATAATTTGTTTGGTGAAAATAACCCATATGAACATTACAGAATTATAGGAGAAATCACGGTTGTACCCTGTATCTACAATACATAACTCAGAATGAGTAAAGACTCTCAGAGAGATAGCAGAGGTGTGAAGGTTAATAATAATGCACTGTTTCACCGTTACAAATATAAACCTCATCTGATGGCATAATGTTAACAAACTGAGGTTCATGTTGAATACTACTTGCATGACTTGGACATGGAGTTACGTGATATGAATAAGCATTCTCATACGGTGGTTCATCAATGTTGTCATCTTGGTACGCATAATTGTAGCGATAATTGTGATCATTCAAGAATGGAATCGGTGAATCCAATGTTCTGTCTGTCATCATTAGAGAATTGACTCTTGGGATTTCATGATACATGGATTGGGACATTCGACGACCAAATATGTAACTGTCTTCGCCTTCCTTTTCATTATTGAGTTCTTTGGATTGTGGAAGACATCTGAAAATATTATGATCAAACATTATTATTATCAAACAAACATTCCACTAAATAATTTTAATTATCATTGCAAGTCAAAATTTTTGAGCAAATACTTTTTCAATTTCCGCATTCATTTTGAACCAAATGAACAGCTTACAATTTTTCTCACAAAATTCAATCACTACTTTTGATTGACACAAGCACTAATATTTTTAGACGATGTGAAAGTTGACAGTTGTGATAAGGATTAATATCAGGTGGCATTTCTGGTTGTTAAATGTCAGTTTTGTCTTATTTGACCTTTTTAACTTTGGGTGGAAAATGTTGCATATTCCGTAACTATGAATTATTTGTTACAGTATTTTTTGACCAAAAACACATAATCGTCTACAGATCTTGATAAAAACATCACATAGGTTTTTTTTGTGAAAAGTGATTAAATCTGACTTTAGTGTTGAAAAAGTGTAAAAAGTTAGCAAAAACTTTTAAAGTGATGAAATAGACATACCTTTTTGAAACGATGAATATAATTACAACTAGTGCTATTGCACATAAGATGCCAATTACAATACCAACTATTTTAGTGGTATTAGAATCATCATCTGCAATAGAGACAAGTCAGTTGCTATAAAATGAATACGCACATGCAGTATTTGAAAACTCATACATAACTTGTCAAAAGGTTACCATCCCTGCCATAAATTTATTTATTTCTTTTCAGAATCTGTGAATGTGCAATTGAAATATGCATCTAAAAATGCTAACCTGACTACATGGCAGGTAGGTTAAATTTCTGCCAGCCTGAATAAGCTACCACTTATGGACATGAGACAGTAAGGTGAGAGGAACAATACAACATAGATACCAGTAAATTATACATGATTTATTATTCATTTGCATGGGAACAAGAAGATATAAAAAATACTACCGGGGTAGATGCACAATGCAAAATACAATAAATCATTTAGTTTTCCCTGCTCAGAATTCTCATGATTTTTGACTTTTACAACATTTATGAAAACAACATTTTTCAAAATTAATTGACAGCATTATGTTGTAGAAATTGTCACTGCTGAAAAAATATTTGACTGGCTCTTAAAATTTTCAAAAATTTGTATTTAACAAAATGAAAATGGTTTACAGTATAAAATATATGTACTGCACTTGGACTTCTTGATTTTTTATGAATATGGAGCTGTTTATTTTTGGTAATTTTTTACCATAAGTGGGTGCTCAAATGGTACTTATCAGGGTGAACACTGCAACATGATTTCAATATATCTTACCCGTGGGAAGCAGTTGACATTTCACACCGGATTCACCATTTTTACATGTACATACGGGGTGACCTAAATCATCAATAATACAATCAGCATTATTCTTACAATAGCCATCACATGGATCTATGGGGAAAAAACAATGTAAAACAACGTCAAACAACATGGAATTCTTAAAGCGTGGCCGTCGTCATGCAGCATGTGTTCGAATTTCATGTAAATAATCAATGTATTTTATACGCGTTGTATATGTCGCTATGAGTCCCATATCGAACAGGACGTGGCACAACGACTGCCACTCTTTAAAATAAAAACAAAATAGTTCAAGCAGATATTTAAGTTAATTCTTTCAAGCAATTCATCGAGGTTTATTCTAAATATGTGTGGATACAACTGAATATAATTTGTACAAAACATAAATCAGTTTAATATTAATGAGAGATGGATACAGTTTTCAATTCACAACAAACATTTTGAAACATAGGCCTGTAAGAATACCTGTAAGAAGCAATTTAGTTCTGATTGGTTGAAATTGTATAAGATTTGCATATTAAATTGTTACCATCTGTACAGTCTTCCACTGAGCCTGCTCCTGGTTCACTCGTCGTTTTCATAAATGGGCAAGATCTGCAGAATGATTCATTTTCTTCACCATACATGCCTCTAGGACAAGGTTCACACTCACCACTTACACCAAGGTAAAGACCCGCTGATAAACAAACATCTGATGAAATAAACATTCAGTCAATGTCAATG